TTAAAAAATATTTTTTTATTATAATTATAATTTTATTATTTCCGATTGTAACCAAACAAATCAAGTTTAGTGAAAATTTCTAAATAATTTTCTGTTTATTTACTATAGGTGTTCATTAATTAAGGGTCAATATTCATATTAGTATTACTTTTAACAGTCTTATTTCTCTAAGAGCAATTTTTCTTATAAGCGGATCATCTTCGCTTTCCACAAACTTCTTAATGGCCACAATTTCTCCAGTATCCCTGTTTTTACATTTGTAGACAACTCCGTAACTTCCTTCTCCTAACTTACTAATCTTTTCATAACGCTCCATGGTTTTAGATGGTGTTCTTGCACTATAAAAAAAATTAATATTGAATCAGTGACAAGCATTGAATGTAATAATTATATCGCACGCACTTCAGTGTCATAAGAAGAAGCTTTCTTGTTTAAATAATTAATTAATCTATAATCAGAAAAGGAGGTATGCACATTCATAATCGGAAAGCAAACATACAAAAATGTAACACGAGAGAGTTACAAGTATCTCCTTTATTCTTAAAAAAGTAACTATTAATTAGCATTTAGCATTAACAATAAAAAGTAATTATATATACATATAACCAAAAATAAAATAACATTAAGTTACTTGTTTAAGAAATTCCAAGCAAATTTTGAAAAATGTTTTGTATATAAGAAAAACTAGTAGAAATGTTAATCTGTATAAATAAAAAAAGTCGTGTTAGTTACACTATTTATAACTCAAGAACGGCTGAACCGATTTGGCTGAAAATTGGTGGGGAGGTACCTTACAACCAGGAGATGGACATAGGATACTTTTTTGATTCTGTTCCCCTGGAACGTGACATAAAACATAGGTTAAGAAAATGCAACTGACATGGAATAATAAAACGCAACTGACAGCAAAACGAAAAATTTATCAGTCAAAACATCAGTCTAGCCATTCAATCTCTGTTGGGGGGGGGGAGTGGTGAAGAGGAGTTGCAATGTTTAAATGGTCAGATTTACTTGAAACTTGGTCTTAATGGTCTCTCATTTAATTTCTAAAAGACCTATCTGGACATTTTAAAAAATTCAACCTCCAAAGCGGGTGGGTTAAGAACGTGTTGCAATTTTTATTTGGGACATACTTTATTTGTGGTTGAATTTACTTGAAACTTGATAGGTACATATGCTGCTTGATATTATTAATTAACTGAAAAGAGGTTGCAACGTTTCCATTGGATATATTTTATTTGTACTCGGATTTACTCGAAGGTTGCTCATTGTTGAAATTAAGCAAATACGTGTTTTGGCAATTTTTAAAAATCAACCCTTAATGATGAAATGTTGTTGCTACGTTTGTATTTGAAATCTAAGATGACAACATTACATAAAGTTAAAACGTTGTAAGGGTGAATTGGGAGTTCTCACTAAATAAAACAGTCAATTCCTTTGCTTTTTTTTAATTTAATTTCAAATAAAGCTGTAATAAATTTATTTTCCAATATATTAACTTTTGTCTACAAATATGAATCCGACGACATTATCCAAAATGTTTCGTACATTAATTTTTCATGATAAATATTGTTTAATGAGTAAAATGGGTTCAGGGTTCATGTGATCGCAGCGTATAATCTGTACAGTGCTGCACGGAAAAAATGACCATTTTATCCACTATGTATGTTTAATGAACAAGAGTCGAGACGTCGAGAGTATAATGAGCTTTTTTCTCCCTACCTACGATTTTGCCAGCGCGCATCCAAGACATTGGAAGGGGAACATCGCTAGAGAAAGTAAACGAAGTATACATCTGTAATTACTCATAGTTACGAGGGTGGATTGATAAGTTTCCGGCCTAACCAAGAGATGACGCCACTAGGCCTACCTTGAGGTGACATTCTATAGTACCATCCTTGGATAGCTTGTAGCTATAGTTTCAGCCCGATCTCCTTGCTAGTGTAGGTTTGACAGC